ACTTTGCAGTAGCACATAAACATAAGCTGAAATCAAAGGTTCTCTCTCATTACTGAGGCCAGCCAAATTCCCGGTGGGCTGAAGCAGGAGGAGCACTGTGGTTAAAGAGGGTCATTGAACACTTCCTGGTGAAGCTTTTTTTCTGGAGAAAGCTGGATATTTTGATTACTTTATTGATTGATTTGGGGAAAAAAAAGAAGGCTCATATGTTCCCCAAAGATGCTGACAATTTTTTGTCAACAGAAGAAAAAAGAACTGAGTGCGTGAACACTAAAAGGACCCCAAATATTGACTTGGCTGAAAACCCTGAGAACTTTCAACTAAAACCTGAACTTCTGTTATGTGACAGAGCCACCAGAGCACCACACAGGAGTAATCGCTTGGCTGTCTCCTGCTCCCTCTCTTCTGTAGGGCAGCATCCCCTGCAGCCAGGGATGCCTGCCTTGGTGCTGATGCCCAAAGCAAAAGGAGACCATCAGGAGCTGCAGCATGACTTGGTACGGACCACAGGGGAGCTAGAAGCAAGAGATACCCAAACAACAGCGCCCTCCAGGTCCTAGAGCAGTGTTTCTGAATCATGCATAGAAGCATAATGATTTAAGGAAAGAAAATACAGTGGCTATGGGTTATGTGATTTCCCCTTCCCATGTTTATTGCCCACAGTAAACACATAAGTCTGGCAGCTATTGTATATGTTATTAGCATCACTTGTGGCTTATTAGCCAAAGTCAACAATGCTTGTTAATAGGGATACTTTTCAGAGTTTTATAGAACAAAAGCCCTGAAACAGCCTTGGTTTCTGTGTCTTCAGTACTGAGAGTATCAGGCTGGGTTTGTTTTTTCCCTGTGTTCAGGCTTTGCATAGGAGGATGTAGCAGACTAGTTACAGCTCGGAGGCAAGGCGTGGTCTGGCCGCTTGTGCACACCGCTGGTGCCTTGTGCCTCACACAGACCTGAGTGGGTGGCAGTGCAGGAGACACAAGTTTTGGCTGCGCTGTCACGCATCACACCCGCACCTCCACCGGCCTCTGAGGGACCAAGCTTTCTCCCCCAGCCTGCCTGTGTGTGGAAAGGACTCTCTGGGAGAGGGGGGAAAGAAGGGGGACTGCAACCCAAAACCTAGCCCCTTCTCTTTGGCATTTAGCTGAACAAAATGCATTTTTAATGGAGGAACTACTCCCGTTGCCTGGATCTATGGCCTGGGCTGCATAACATTTTACAGGCGTCTGGAGATGGTACAAATGCTCAGGAACTGTTCTGTTGCCAGATGCTTCCTCGACTGAGATGCTCAGGCAGCAAGAGCACAAAACACCTTAAATATTTCAAGCTGTTTGTTTAAGCCTTGTGTGCACGATAGCAAGTTGTATAGCCCTGTGCTCAGAACCCCTCTCAGACCTCATTAGGGCTAAGGTAATCAGATTGTTTAAATGAAAAGCAGGGCTGCCGAGACAGAACTTTCCCATCCCTTTGGCGTTAGTCACCTGGCACACAGCAGGGTCAGCAGGACTCGGCTGTCCCTTTCTCCACCTTCAACTCCACCAGCTCCAACTGCCCAGGTGCACTGAAAACATCCTGCTCTCTCTGCTCTCTCCCTGAAGCCAACATGTAACTGGGCACCACAGCACAAACCATGCCTGACTGGCCCTCTAAAATCCGGGCATGGATTTTAAGTCAGCCCCACTCCCATTAGAGCCATGGGATTTTGATTACTGACTATAACAGGGGCGCTGAACAAGACCCAGCCTAACCCAACTGCATCATCCTTGGTTTGATTCACTGCTTATTTGCTTAAAGAGGAAGAAGGGGCATGTCAAAATGGATGACCATTTAAAAGGCAACAAAAAGATGTCCAACTCTCCCCCTTTTGCCAAACAGGACTTTGGAACCTGAGACTGGGAGGGATGAGGTCTCAGGGGTCTGGCTCTGGCAACCTAATCTATCTAGCTTTCATCCTCTCCTTTTCAATACATCTTGTTTTGAAGAGGAAAAAGAACAAACTTTTGATCTTCTGGATAGGTCAAGAGGGAAAGAAAGGGTAAAAATTGAGAGCCGAATCATTATACATTGAAGTAGCGCATGTGTCCCACTCATTGATGGGTACCCAAGCTGCAAGGTAGAGATTAAAGGCACTTTATCCAAGAAGAAAAAATAAACTGGTCCAACTGTACAGCAAATACAGGTACAAGGAAATCAGCATTTCTTTGAGTCTCCCACAAAGTGAGCTATTTTCAGCTCCTGTAATTGGCTCTTCTGCATAGTGAAACACCTGTGTCTGTCTTAACAGTAACTGCAGGCTATGCAAACGTGCTGGGGCTGGTTAACGGTCGTGTATCCGTCCCTCGAACTTTCAGTGCAGAGCTGCTCTCAGGTTTCATCCGGTCCTGTCTAGCCTGAGATAACTTTTTTGGCCCCCCAGCCTGCGATGTAAAGCCGCTTTGCGCAATGCCGCTGCAGACACGTATCAGAGGCCCTCCCATGGAAAGGGCATAAGTCCACCAGCAGCCAGCCGCACCGCTCCCGGGGGAAGAGGCGTTGTGAGGAGCCTCCTGAGGGGGGATGGCAGCAAGAGGGGTGGCACGCAACAGGACAAAGGCAAGTAAGCACTCTTACTGGATTTGCTTTGAGCGATAATTTTTCAACTCAAGTTTTTGGGCTTTTCTGAAAGGCTCTGGGCTGACTTATTTAGGGCAATCAAACACACTTACTTGCCACAGGTGAGGCTTAGTGCAAGCTCTGGGAGCAAGAACTGCCCCTCTTGCTTCTGCTCATGAGAAAAGAGTTGACATGGTGGCTCTGGCAGTGGTAGAGAAGTAACCACCGGGCAGTGGTGGTGCCTGATGGTGCAGCCTGACCGGGTGGCACAGAGTCATCTCCCTGCTCCTACAGCAGGCATTAAGAAATACTTCAAAACAATTGTATGAGGGAGAGAACAGGGTGGGAAGGGCAGTGCCTCTAATTCACAGCTTTTTGGTTTGTTTTCCTGAGCTGCCCCAATCTGGAAAATGCAGAGAGTAGACTAGAAATGCACCAGCACAGCAGCTGGGCTAACTGTGAAGATGAAGCTGGGAAGGAACTCCCAAGATAATTTTTTAGCTGGCCATAAGGAATGAGGAAGCCCTGCAGTGCTGCACGTCCCCTGCTGCCAGCAGAGCTGGGGAGGCAAAGACGGGGCAGGGAGCAGAGGGAATGGCAGCACTGACTACTGCTGCCTACTCGCTAATTTAGAGGATGGGGTGGGAGTTAATGGGGAAGAGCAATCCTTGGATGAAGGCACAGGTCCTCCCTGCATGCCTCTGGAGAGCAAATAGTTTCAGGCCTGACCTGCAGGCACCCACTAGGAAGATGCTCAGACATCCCGAGGGACGATCACAGTAGCAGAAACTCCATTTGCAAACCAAGCTGTTAGATAGGAACCTATAGCCTGGGAATGTAGATGTGCACGTTAGCAGGCATCTGTGCTTAGCAAGGTACGCCTAATTACCAAGCATCTGTGCATCTCAGTTTTTGTATTTGCAAGAGAGTGGTGATACTGCAAACCAGAGTATTATCAGGCATGAAACACATGGGGATCTCTCAGTGAAGTGAATATGGTTATACATCACGAATCAGGCTGGGAAGGTGACAGGTCTTGAACAGTTTAATTTAAACCCAGACCCTTCCACCCTCTGTAAATTAAAGTGTTGGTGAGACTGATGTTGCACTGCATCCTCTCAAAAGGCTCAGGCTCCCAGTGTTGCAAACCTGACAGGCTGGTGCAACTCAAGTCTTGGAGAAAGAAGGTGGAGAGCAGAGCTCTGGTTACTGGCCAGCCTGTTAGCATTTTGCCCATCCAATGAGCACTGCAGAGCCTGGAAAGGGCAAAAGAGGGTGAATATAGCTACAATAAACAAGAAATAATGAGTAGAATGAAAATACAGCTCTGAATAACAGCGGTTTGGCCAATGATAAGTGTTATAGATGCACAATTTCCAATGCATTTGGATTTCAAATACACAAATTCAAAGTTGCATACTAGAAATCCAGGGAAGGTGCAGCAGAGCTGTTAGTTATAAAAAAATTGGATATAGGAAAAGTGAGAATTATAAGAATGCAAAATTTGTCAGTGTGTTTGCACATGTGTGTATGCATGTATGTGAATGTGCACCCATGACTTTCTCATTCCCAATATGCACCAGATCGTTTGTGACAAAACACCAGGGACATCCACATCCAGTAAAGTTCTCTACTTCTCAACAGGAAAAGGGCAGCAGGAAGTCTTTTACCGCAGGAGAAGGCTGCCTGCACAGTAAACTCAGCTTACCCCTTCTACCTCTGTATTCAGATAAAGAAGGTGCTACAAAAAATGTTTTCCGTGTTAGCACATTTGTATAAGGGAGCCTTGAGTGTGTTTGCCTAGAAGCTAGAATGAATGTTTGCATTGGGCTATGAAAACACAGAATACTCTGCTAGTGCCAAGTATTATGCTGACTAGACATACAAGGCAGGATCGTTCAGTGGTCAGACCTTAAGAGACCAGGTTTCCAAACGCACTTCCCACATAACAGCAGGCAAATCATTTAGCCTGTCCGTATGTCAGCTCGATTTAGCACAGTAGATTGCAGAGATGGCTCTGAGCAGGTCCCAGGAGCAATATAGTTGCATTATTATAATGTTTTGGCAGAACCAGTATACTCTAGTTTGCAAGCCTAACTAGTTGGCATGCACAACCGTATTGCTTCCCATCCTAAATCGTTAGGGTACTGCAGCAGGTAATGGAGTCAGATCTGTGCTTGGCATTTCCCTACCTGCTGCCATTGAAGCTGGTGGCCATCTCACACAGGGATTTTCAGGGGACAGTGCCAGACCATCCAGCACTAAATACTGAAATTCCTGCCTTTGTAACTCCAACACAGCACTAGCAACTCACCTTGTGAGTGAGAGAAACTGTACTCACAAAAGGCTGTTCAGTCTTTCCTCCCCACTTTTTCTTTCAGCATACACCGTGGAAGCAATTTTTCAACATGAACCTGGCAGCAGACCTTCTCTGTTTGTTGGTGTGTCTCACCGCAGTGACTTGCGACCGGGTCTATGTCCACCCTTTCACTTTGTTTGCTTTCAACAAGAGTACCTGTGAGCAGCTGGAAAGCCTGGTCCAGGAGGGAAAGAAAACTTTTGTCCCCGTCTCCATTGAGTCCCAAACCACGCCTGCCTATGAAGACAACCTGAACGACAAGGACAAGCTGGAAGCCCCAAGCCTGAATGGCCATGGGACGCAGAAGCTGAACTTCTTGACGTACCTTGTTTACGTCCTGGGAGTGCGGTTTTACGGTGTGCTACGGGAAGCACAGCGGGGCCAAAACGTGCTCCTGTCACCAACCAGTCTTTACGGCTCCTTGGTGTCTTTATACCTGGGTGCCTCCAACCAGACGGCAGCTGATTTGCAGGATTTGCTGGGATTTGTTCCCCCTTCTGGAGACTCTGACTGCACCTCCAGGGTGGATGGACACAAAGTCCTTTCCAGCCTGAACATGATCAAAAGCCTTGTCAAGAGGAAGGATGAGGAGCTGCTCTTTTCCAAGACCCTGTGCCTGTTCTCTGCCCATGGTGTACCTCTATCCCAGCTGTTTGTGCAGGACTTGCTCCCCTCCGTGGATACTCTCTATGCCCGAGCTGTTAACTTTACAAACCCAAGCCAGGCAGCAAAGCAAATAAACGCCTTCGTGGAGGCCAAAAGCAAGGGCCAAAGCAAGTGCCTACTGACAGACATTGATCCATCTGCTGACATACTATTTGCCATGGATGTCCGCTTGGCAGGTACGAGGCAGCACGGTCTGTTTCAGGGGCAGGCTGGGTGAAGGACAGGCAGCAGCGCTGCTCCCGGGAAGGAAGCTTGGCCAGTGGTGAGAGGGAAGGGCTCAGAGGAAAGGCTGGACCACTGCTCCACGTACAGTGCCCTGGTCCCCACCACCGTGCTGGGCATCCTGCCTGCGCTCTGCCCACGAGCCAGCAACGGCACTGGGGAGGGGTAAGGAGAGTAAGAGAGTACTCTGCAGTCACTCTGTGACTGACAGCTTCTTCACTTCAGTTATATTCCCTATATTGTAGACACAGGTTTGTTCGCTGCTCTGATGCGGCTGCCGAAAGGTTGCCCAATCCCACAGCTTCTGTGTCCTGATATGAAAGATCTCACTGTAAGAAACCATTTCTTCCAATGTGTCGGCTATCACTTTCTATAGAAGGGGTGTTCCTCATGGTCAGTTTTCCTCATTTTGCACTCCAGGTATCTGAGGCAGAAAGCAGGGTTTCTTTAGTAAATACACCTCTCCTGTGTCCTAAAAAATTGCTGTGAGAAACAAATAGTCATATTAACACTACTAACACCTTTTAGAGCACTTTCTGGGGAATGCATACCTAGCTACACCTTTGAGGGCACAGATGTCCAGACCCTCACCTAGCAGAAGGCCCCAGCGAGCCGTTTCAAACACAGGGGTGCTAAGCTGTCATGGTTCACAACTGGCACAATATTAATGGACTCAGTCCCAAAGTCAGTAGCAGAGCTTTGAAATTTTGCAATATCTTTCCCAAGAATGTTTAAAACAAACTACTATTCCACCTTGATACCTTTAGCTATCTGAGTGCTCAATTATTTTTTTCCTTTTGTTTAACTCTGTTACAGTCTTGACTTTTGCTATCCTGGAAGTATAAATGCTGTAGGTTATATAGACCCTGTGAAAGTGTCTCCTTTCTGCTTTCTGCTTGCATACCTTTTTCTTCTAAAATAAGAAAAAAAGGTGAACAACTCTACTTGCTTATTCTTTGTTTTGCTTACACCTTTCACATCTCCTACCTGCTGCTTCTTGTTGGTGAAGTTATGGTAGCTGAAAGTGCCTAAATGCTCTTTTTATGAAAGATCAGTTAAGAGACAAGTGTTCCTATGCAAAACCACTTACTAGATATTAAATGTGTTACGGTCCAGCATTTATCTGGATTTACTGGAAAATAGACTGGTTAACAGTACAGCTAGACCAGCTCCTATTTTGTAACAATATTAATTACTTTAATGCAAGGAGGTCCTTTCTTTACCACAACATATACATCTGTTTTGCTAATTCCCTGTTTCCACCAAACAGCAATTTCAAGATTTCTGATCTTTACCCATCTCACTGATGGCAGTAGTTTCCTTAATGCCAACAGGAATATCTGCCTACCTGGGCAGCAGCACTGACCTGTGGCAGTGAGCAGGTAACGTGTTGAAATGCAAAGCTGCACAGAAGCAGCGGGAGGTGAGAGCAAGGCTTCCCAAACTTGTGAACTGGGTAAGAAATTTATACCAAGGTTTAACAAGCGTTCAGGTATGTCCTTGTTAACCTCCTTGGCCCAATCGACACTTTGGTATTATGCTTACTACCTTCCCCATTGCTTTGGTTCATAAGATGGCCAAGGGTGAGACCCCAGCCAGAGCTTGCCCCGCCTGCCCTCTCCCAGAGAGCAGTCCTGCAGCCAGGGCTGGCCCTCAGGGATGTGCTCCCAACCTGCCATCACCGCGGCCCGAGAGTGGACCAGAAATCCAAGCAGACCCTCCACACAGGCCCACGAGCCAAGCAGGAGCCACATGGCAGCCTGTGAGGAAGCAGGAAAGCAAGTAAGCAGAAATACTGTGCCCAGGAAAGGCCACAAAGCCAGCAGAAATACAGCAGCTTTGGCCACAGTCCTGACAGTCACAGTCCCTGTGCTGTGAGCCTGCACCAGCCTCTGCTTGATGCTACCTAGAGGCACATTAAAGGCAGGACACATACGTTTACAGTAGCTAAACATGATTTTATACACACAACCCTTATCTAATGCACAGTGTGTTGTTTTTAAACAAACAAACTGGCTAAGAGGTAGAGGGGAGGAGTGAAGAAAGGGCAGAATCAATTTCTTCTTTCTCAACCTGTTTTTCAGTGAACTTCAAGCAAGCCTCCCGGCTCAGAGAGCCCCAGGAGTTCTGGGCGGATTCGAACACGAAGGTCATGGTCCCTATGTTGTCAGTCACAGGGACATTCAAGTACAAAATTGACACCAGCGGGACTTTTTCTGTGGTGGAAGTCCCCATCAGCAAGACCACGCTGCTGGTGCTGCTGCAGCCCATCAATGGCAGCGACCTAGAGCACGTGGAGCCCGCGCTGTCGCTGCAGTCCTCCGCCTGGCTCCAGGAGCTGGCCCCAAGGTAGGGCTTGGCCACACGCATGCCCTCCCGTAGGAATGAACGAACAGTACGCACAGTGCGGGCTTGCCTGCTGCTGCTCACTGCCCAGGGCTGGACCCTGCCAGGGAGGGCTCAGCACCAGGCACAAAGAGAAATGCCTACAAACCCCAGGGACCTCAGCCCAAGGGAGCTCGCCTTCGGTGCGACTGGCTTCTTATTTGTGCGTATTTGAAGGAAATGAGCAGGTCCCTTTCCATAGCCAGCAACGTAGGACCCACAGAGTGGGATCATTGGGGACGTAACAGCATAGCCAGGGACAGATTTTGGGCGACCTCCCACTTGGAATCAGTAACACAGCACCAGTCAGCCCTTGGTAGCTCTCTGTCCCCACATTTAGTGGCTGTTTTCACATGCCCATTCCCCAGGACTGCCCCAACACCCTGCTTTCCTACCAGAGAGCACACACACACTCACCTCTCTCTTTCTCTTTTCTGCAGAGAAATTAAATTAACGCTGCCGGAGTTAACAATAGAAGGCAGCTCCGATTTACAGGAGCTTCTTGCAGATATGGAACTGCCTGCACTTCTGGGGAAGGGGGCAGATCTCAGTAGAATAAGCAACAGCAACCTAACAGTTGGAAAGGTACAGTACATATCACTGTAATTTAAAGAAATCTGCATCCTTTATACAGCCTCTACAACTGTGTAAATTTACCTGGAACAAACCAGTCAGAGCCACGCGGGACACATGCTAGCAGGGGACTTTCCGGATGACTGAACGATAGTGAATACTTTTTAGATTAAACCATCATCAGGAACAGGTTTGCTTTAAATTATTCAAATTTTGTCAGCACAGCAAACGTAATATGCAACAGAGGGTCTGAGTGTGCTAGGTAGTCCGAGAACAAATCAGACTGCATCCGTTACCACCCCCAGCTCAGACACCTCCAGGGACTGCAACTGGAGCAAGCAGCAGAGGCTGCAGCTACTGGGCTGTTGGGGACAATCCTCCATCACTTAGGGACCACTCCCAGACACTGCAAACACAGAGGTGCTTGTGGCACATGACCTTACCTGCAGACAGGCTCCAGTGTTCAAGTCCCAAAGGGAAGAAGGGAGAGCTTGAAGGAGAGGGCTGTCTTTCATAAAAAGAAGGCAAATTCTGTTCCAGAAGTATAATTTGAGTGCCTTTACTTTTATTTAATTTTATTTTTAGAAGGTGTCCTACCTTAGAATTTGTCAGGGCCTTCAAGGGTACCAGGACTTCATACAGCCCAAGTGTACAAGCAGTTGTAGAACTTTTTCATGTTATGGAAAAAGTACCCAATGTCTTTTTTAAACATCCACAGAGTCTATCCGGTGCTGCTTACACCTGATCCAAGTTCCTGATTACTTCATGTGCTAGAAAGCGCTTAAGCACTTATTCATCTCTTCACTGTCATGCTCTGATGACTCTGGATTTACTCATATGTTTTGCCTTACAGGTAATAAACAAAGCCTTCTTCAAACTGACCAGTGATGGAACAGAGCAGCCAGAAGACCCCACAGCACAGAAGGAAGATTTGGAGTTCCTGGAAGTTACTCTGAACAAGCCGTTCCTTTTGGCTGTTTTTGAAGAGAAGTCAAGGGCAATGCTTTTCCTTGGCAGAGTAACAAACCCTCTGCACGGGGTTTAAAGGCAATCACGGAGGAAGAAGGGGAATGATGCATATTTCCCATCACTTTTTTCTTATTCATCAGCTATTTTTATGATCTTGTTGAGTGCTCTACTTAGCTTTGAGATGAAGCAGGTAGTGTTTGAAATACAGCTTTTTGAAAGCTAAAACATTGCAACATTTCATCCTTGTTCATCCATTTCACATGAGGTGACTCAAACTCTTCCTCCAGCGTCTCTTCTTTCCTTATTCCCACTGTGTCTCCCTTCTGCCCCCAGCTCCCTTTTTCGATGCTGTGGGGACAAAGCAGTAACCAGCAAGGCATTGACTTAAAAAATAGTTTTATAAGCACAAGCAGCATTTACTATAGAAAGGTAAAGAAAAGGACCTCTTCATTCCTTGGGAGGTCACTTTTTAATTTTCAATTTGGTCAGTTTCGCTAGAGAGAGACCTCTTTTTATGTTGCAGTGAAAGTTTTTCAGTTATCCACAGAGATTTCTGGCTTCATAAGCAACATTTTCCTTTAAAATGCTGCCAACAGCATGGGCAGGCTTCACTTGTCCCACTGAGACCACATTTTTTGCCTTAGAAGCAAAAACACATTTAGAGGAAGTTTCTTCTTTCTGCAGCCCAGATGGCTATGTTCATTTCTTAACTCTATGGAAAAGCTAAAAATAGGGTTTGGTAGCATTAATGAACTGTGATGGATAAATTCTCACAGCCTGACAGAAGTATCTCCAACTTTTTTTAGAAAAAAAAATAATATCTACTATTCCAAGACAATTCCCTTCCTTAGATTACTTTCTCACCTGAGACGCATAAATTACAGCCTTATAATGAAAAAGAACGTTAGTGGTTAGAACCCAGATGTGTAAACTTTAACAGATCCAAGCCGTATGTTCTTAAAAAATAGTACTAATGGCAATCATTTCTACTAGTATAAATAGTGGATGTGCTGCTGCACATGAAAAAAATTGTTTCAGTGGTCCAATCCAACAACAGAGTCATAAAGGTTTGAAACATGAAACTCGAACAACAGATTATTAGATGACTCTTGAATTAAGAAGTGAGAAATTGCGAGTGAAATCTTGGTACTAAGGAAAGCCTCTCAGCGGAACAAGGATTTCCACCTCTCATCTGTTTAGCACTGATGGTGTTTAGAAAATAACTGCAAGCCTCTTTGGTGTATGATGCCAGATGTATCCTACAGAGCACAGTAGGTCATTGTCATCCACAGTGGCCCAAATGTGTCTCTAATCCAAACCCACTAATGCCAGTGGCTTGCTGTCAGTGATGTAGCTACGTGACAGATCCTTCTAGCTTAATGGAAAAGACTAATAAATAACATCAATCACTCTTGAGACTACTAGGATTTCAAGTGCTATGATATAGCATCCATGTATTTATCCAATTATACTGTATGTATTCCAGATGCTCTAACATCTAAATACTGTACTTGTATTATACACAGAAGCAATTAGCTATAAAAATGCAGAGATGGAAAGATGCAAATAAAACCACTTCCAAGTTGCTTTGCCACAGTTCAGTTGGGTTTATGTCCACAACTACATCCCTTGTTCTGGCTTCTGAAAGTTGTTCCACATCAGACCTGTTTTTTAACGCAGTAAATTGTAAATTATCTGCAATACAGACAGTGATACAGCTGTAAGCATGGAAGAGGCAGCTTCCAAGTGTTCACACTCATTTAAAATTATCCCATTTACTCATTAAAATCAGAAGGTAGCATCATCCACAAAGAGAATTTCAGACCACAAAATGTTCCATTTCTATGATGAAGATGGAGGATAACAAAAGGGACCCCTGGCCACACTGCCATTAAGTTCTGGGACAAAATGCCATTATTCCCAGGTGGGGCTGCATGCTGTTGGAGGATTGCATACCCTGTTCAGTGGTTACAGGCAGAAAAACAAACAAACCCCACCACCCACAAAACCAAATACTTTCTGAAGAAGAAACTTCGTTGTGGAGAGCACCTCTCCACTGACACCCTGGAAAAGAAAAGGAAGAAAGGCCTGAGACAGGGAACTAAAAGTATACTGGCCAGAGTAAGGACTGGAAGAGAGAGGTGCTGGAGCAAGTGCTACAGTACCAAAAAGATAAACTATCTGTACATGTACCCATTCTCCTAGATATTCAAATGGTACAAAAAACCCCCAAACCAACCAAAGAAAAAACAACCACCCCCACAAATCCCCAAATAAATCTCTCCACTTCCCAAACAATATATACTCTCCTGAGACTTACTACATCAATTTTACATCTAAAATTTTTATGGCATTTATGCTCCTCGTTCTCCTCCAGTGGTCTCCTCCAGTTGTGCCAAATTCCTCTGCCAGGCACACAATGATGCACTTTCCAAGCATCCTAGGCATCATTCGCACACCGAGTTCTGAGCTGCAGCCTACAGCTCAACAGTCTAGTGAATGAAGCACCTAAAATGTTGCCATGAACAGAGATATGCTATGCAAATTAGAAGAGCCAAATCCTGCTATTCCTCAGACCAAATCCAAGAACCACCAACATAATTTTATGCAGCAGTATTTTTCCCACTGCCCCTTCACAAAATTAATTTTAGAAGTCATAATAATCACCTATCCTAATCACTCCAAAAGCACAGTGATTACACAGTTGTCAATTCTCCAACAGTGAGCAATAAAAGCCTTAATGCTTTTCCATAAGGTCCATGGAAAAAACAAATCAGTAAAATGAAAACATTCGAAACCCCAACAAGAGCTAACTATATCCCTGATGAGGGAAAGCTGGGATGTGCAAAGCAGGAACAAGAAATTGCAGATTCCTATTCCTGTGAGCACTTTCTTTATTCCAGAAGAGCTGGAATAAAGTCCCTTTGAAAGCTTCTGACAGCCATCAATGAATACAAAATTGATTCAAAACCATATGGGACATAAACAGTTAGGAAGACAATTTATTACATATTATTTGAATCATATAAGCTCATTCTTCTACATTTGAGATGTACAACAAAAATTAAAAAATCCATTTTTTCCACTTTTATTCTATAGTAGAAAGTTTAGAACTTCTGATTGCTTTCCATATAATGGAAATCTATGATAAATTCTCAGTCTTTTGGTGAAACAAGCCTATCTTGACAGAAAATGCACTGATTTGTTGCTTGAGATATATTAGTAAGCACTTCATTGCTACTTATTTGGTAAAATGAAGAATTAAATTCTCCCTCTTTCTTTTAGGGACATTGTTTATCTTCAATCACATGCTTTCAAAAATATCTAGGATTGTTCGGCTGCAGCCTGATCCTTGGCAGTTAGAACGAGCTCTGTAAGGGCTGAAAAGCTTTTTATGCTGCTTGTTTCCAGTCCCATCTTGCGTATCTAAAAAGACAGAGAAGGAACATTAATTTTCTTTAAAACACTAAAAGCTTATTAATTATTCTACTTTAAACATTTAGCAAAGCATATGTTTTGTCCTGCATCAACGTGCAGAAAAAAACCACAACTGCATATAGCGCACACTATGAAAAAAAATTTATATCCAACTTCACTCAGTTAAGTCCTTCCAGCTAATGTAATGTCTTGCAAGAAAAAATGTAACCATCTTCTAGGCAACTTGTAACTAAAGCTGGTTGGAAGTTTTCCAATGAAACTGTCAGAAAGAGAAACTTGGCTGTAAGTTTGTTTTAATGCATTGATTTCAACTGAAGTATTTTCAAACCCCAAATGAGGTTTCTGGGCAAAACCTTAAAGATAAACATGAATACACCCAAGAACAGCCAACAGCATAATGATGAAAACATTTCAATAGGCTGCAAGAGCCTATGGTTCTAGCCCCGAACTTCCAGGGGGATCAAAACAACTCTACAAATACAGGGGTTGCTACGAGTTATTTCTTACCCAGGAAATCTATTGCTCTGACAATTAGAAAAACATGGCCATGAGAAAACTAGGAGTGCACTGAAAAAGAAAAATCTGGATCTAAATAAAACCATAATGAAATTATTCTAAAAAGGTGTTTGCTGCTGGAACTCTTTGTAATGTTCACATTTACCAGAACAGGTCCTAAATGATTATGAATAATTTATCCCAGTTCAGCTTAAATTCACACTGCAGTTATGTTAGTGCACACAATAGGAATAAAAAACCAAAAGCCCAACCCCAGCCAAAACCTGCCAAATAACAGCTCTTGTTAGTAAGATTTCCACACTTCCACCCAAATCTCTTTACTTTGTGATAAGTCTCAGATACGAGAACAGCATCTGCTCACACACAGGCAGACTTTATCTACCTGTTATAATGCATCAACAGCATCTGCTCATAAACAAGAATGATGGCAACTGCTGGGCAACTAATGATACAGACTTGGACTTGGAAATTTGTATATTTCTACATATAATTTTCAGAAATAAATTAGTACAAAATAGTATGCTTACACAATTTCATGCAGCTACTGCACACATTTCCTGGAATATTTTAATCTTTTATTTGTTTTGTTATTTAAGGTTTCATATATTTGGTAATGAAAGGAACTTACAGTTACACAGCGCAACAAATAAGGCTAACGTCTTCAAAGCTCCTGGGAACAGACCTTTGACTAGGCAGTAAGTCAAGGCTGGAAATATTCACAGAGAAGGCAAACAAAAGCAGGGCCATAAAGATGTTTCCATCAGAGCTAAGGAAGGTCCCTGCCCTCTGATCTGCCCACACAGTGCTGCTTCTTTGTGCTTCTAAGCACTAAGCAATACTTGAATTCTGAACAGTAAGAAATACAAGTTTTGCATTTGTATTAGAAAGGACAGGAAAGCATGCATTGCTCAAGTGGCATCTACAGTCACCAAGGTCTCAAGTCACCTCCACTACACAGATGTGGAAAAACAAAGCAAAACCCCCAAAACCAAAACCACACTGACAAAGCTTTCAAGACCAAAAAAATAAGTCAAACTTCCCTTTCCTCCTCTATCTCACTCCCTTCCAAAACCAGTACTAATAGTAAACAAACTTGTTTCTCATGACTTACTTGTTCTCCAA